AACAGGTATAAGCTGAAAGAGGGCAGATTTAGACTAGACATTAGGAAGAAATTTTTCACTGTGAGGGTGGTGAGACACTGGAACAGGTTGCCCAGAGAAGCTGTGGATGCCCCATCCCTGGAGGTGTTCAAGGCCAGGCTGGATGAGGCTTTGAGCAACCTGGGCTAGTGGGAGGTGTCCCTGCCCATGGCAGGGGGGTTGGAACTAGGTGATCTTTAAGGTCCTTTCCAACCCTAGCCATTTTATGATTCTATGATTCTTTTTAAAGGTTCTTTATGTTAATTCCTGTTTTGCAGGTGATTGAATGATTTTTATGGTTATGGTAGTCAGGCTATTATATATGTTGTAGAATAGTTATCAGGCCCAGTTGAACAAAGTTTTAATTCCAGACTTCTGTATTCTGCAGTACCTTAAGATAAAATGCCTTGTCATGTTGCTCATGGCCAGGATCTAGCTAGTGGGTCTGTTTAGCTCCTGTTAGTAGGAGCATTCAGTCTTTCCCCTCTGAAGATCTTCTCTCTAGTGCAGCACTCATTTATTCAGGACAGAGATCATGATGGGAGCGTAGGACAGTTGTCGTCTACTGGCAGATCTCCTGTTCACATAAAACAGGTAAGACATGAGGTTTTGGGACCTGGAGAACATAAATACTAGCAAAGTTTATTGTCATGGAACGGCTAGTTCCTACTTGCTTTAGAATTGGTGCAATGAAGAGACATTTTAATGGACGAAAGTAGGGGGCTCTAAAATTGCCATACTGCAAGACCTGAATTAAAAACAATAAGAGCAGAACCATCTCTGTGTGTTATTTCTCTTTAACTTGGAAATACATAAATACGGTTATTCTTGCTCTATGTTCCTGATTACTGCCTTGGATGGAAAGAACATATTTCAGTGGTTTTTGGACATCTGCCTTCTTTTTCTGTACTTACAGGTTCTAATTGACTGGATTAATGATGTGCTGGTGGAGGAGAGAATCATTGTCAAACAACTTGAAGAGGACCTTTATGATGGGCAGGTGCTGCAAAAGCTGCTTGGTGAGTTCATATGAGAGAAGAATGCCCCAAAGGCTGGAAGGGGCCCAAAGTTAATATGTTCCAAAGCTGCAGACAACAGCAAGTCTGTGCAGTAACTCATCATCTCACCAGGGATACAGTTTGTTTCACTGATAGCTATAGTGTCAGCTTCTCCATCTGTTCTTCTCAGGCTGTCTGCTGGAAGGGCAGGAAATCCAGATAATTCCTAGGTGTCTGTTTCATAGACTAAGACTAGTCCAGACAACTGAAATATGTGGCAGAAAGAAGGTGAAGAGATTTGTGTTTGTAGTGGGGGACCAAGGAGAAGCCGTGTGGTCAAAAAATTTGTCTATAAAATTTGTTTCTGAAAGCTTTTTGGGCTGAGACCTTTTTTGAGATCTTAATAGAATTACTTTTAGGAAAAAATAATGAGAGAGAGTGCATGGCAGCAGGCACGTACTTAAAATATCCACTTATGTGTGAATGATTTGTGAAAGGATGTACTCAGTTAAGCAATTGTGATTTTGCAACCCCCTTCCGTCTTTGCAATGTGTGTGTTCATGCAAGAAGCACAATGGAGAAAACTTCTTGTGATGATACAGTCATTTATGGACGTGCTTTTAGCAAACAAAGAGACTTGAAGCTTCAAGTGCCATTGTAAATCCGCACTGTTTCTTGGAGACAGATAGTCAGACTGTTTGACTTATGTTTTCAAGAGTGGGCTGGGATGTGGGATGTATGTGTCAGAGTGGGGTAAGAGGACCTAGTGGTGCTAATCCCACTGGTGCTAATGGATGCTGCTTAGTGAATTTTCTGCATATGCCCCTTAAATAACAGGCCTGAAGTGTTTTGGTGAAGATTCACAAGCTTTTAAAATTGGTTAACAACAGTTTCTTTGTGTGCATTTTAAACTCCTCAAAAATAGCTTGAGGAACAAAACAAGAGTACTTTTGACACTGCTTGGTTAGACTGCAGCTGGGACCCTCCGGACGTGGTGGGCAGCAGGGGCATAGAGTTGATTTTGGCTGGGGAGTATTTGTGTGAGTACAGTTCTACTTCTTAACATGTAGACACTGCTGTTTCAGCAGGTGGTAGCACATTTCACTGTAGCCATTTGTCATAGGTATCACTGGTTTCTTATGTTCCCTGTGGAGACCATGGTTCCACCCTTGGGCCTGCAGACATTTAGAAAGCACTTAGCTGTACATACACACGTACATATGTAGCTCAGTTGGACTTCGCATATCTTAAAGGAGGAAAGGTGGGCATGTACCTCTTACTGCCTGAGACTTTAACTGGACTGGCTTTTCCTCACCTTCCTGTTGGGCCTCTGACTGGAGAGCAAATGCTTCTCCCCTCACCTGAAGCTATCACGGCTCAGCCCCAGTCTTGTGTTGTTCTTCAGTGGTGTCTTGGTTTCTTCAGCAAGACTTTATATTACTGAATCTATCCATCTTTGTGCTGTTTTGTTGTTGCAAGAGGCAAAGCAGGTCGTGCTTGTGGTGGTGCTCCTGATGCTTGAGGCCTCAGAATTAAGTCAGCTCTCTGTTGTGCAAGTTGTCTTTTCTTGTGTCTGCAGGGAAGGCTATCGTAGTAGGGTCGTTAAACTTCAAGTAGTAGTTATCATTCCTTGTGTGTGAGAGATGTTTCAAGAAGACCTGTCTTGATAGGCAGACACACAGAAAAAAAAAGGTGAAAGACAGCAGCTCATCAGTGGGCTTATTTTGAAGCAGTTTGGAGTAACAGATTGGCAAATCACTGTCTGGCTGATTGAGGTGAAGCTCCTTGTTTAGTTAAGATTATTAAGGTACAAGAAGTGCCACTCAGAGAGGCTGGAGCACCTTGGTACACATGATGTCAGGGGGAAAGGAAATAAATTTCTTCTTGCTGACTGGCAGCTAACCTAGGCTGTTGATAGGAGCCATAATATGTGACCAAAAATGAATCTTGTAGGAGATCTTTTTAAAAAAGATCTAAAATAAATTAAAATAATATTTGCATGTTTTGGTAGTCAGTTTAAAAAAAGCTCAGAGACATCTTGACTGACGACCATTTTTCCCATTAATATTCTCCAGATATTGGTAAAAAAATCCTACTGTAGATTGATAGAAACAGTCAAAACCAGTCCTGATATCCTAGTCTCCACAGCAGAGTGAGTTTGGATTTTTTTGCAGACTGGAGGCAGAAAAGCGATCAGCTGTTCCCTTTGCTCTGGTGGCTGGAGAACTCTACCTTACCTTCCTCAGCTGTCTTTTTTGAGAGAGAGAAATTCATCTCCTGTGTCATTGGCAAGGGTCACAACATAGAGGAGGAGAAGAATGACTTGTCCATGACTTTGGCAACAAATAATTATGTTACAGAAACAGAATTCAAATTTTAGTAAAGGTGCTTTACAAAATTTATTGCATTAGTTCATTTTTTGGAAGTAACTAACCATGACGTGACAGTGCCATAACAACGTGACAAGGTTGGACCAACTTTCTTTAAACCGGTTCCACTAAGCCAGTACAAATCTGTGAGTCATATGAGTGTATGGACTTTTGATGGTTTGAGGAGGGAAAGTTTGCTTTAGCTTATATTCATACCTTCAGCTAACCAGAAATAAAGCTCATCAAGGTGAAGTAAACGTCCACACAATGTTTCCCTTTTTTAATCCTAAATTAACTTATTATTAGAAAGGCTCGTTAAACTTGTGCAGATTACTTGTGAAGTGAAGGGTGTGTTGTGCCAAATACTTTTCAGCAGAGAAAGAAAATGTGAGACACAATAAATGTTATTACTAACTTGGTGCCTATCTGAAGGTTGTTATATATTTTGACACCTGATTGATGAACATGTTCTGCCAGACCTTACCAGTTTTCTATCACAGGTTTTATTGGAATTGGCACACTTTGATGAAAGATTTGCTTTCAGCTATTTTGCTTTCTGAGAAAAATCATTCTGTTGGAAAATTGCTAGCACAGTCCAGCTCTGCCAGTGCTTTGTTCTTGTTATTCCCACCCAGACCCTTGTTTAATCTGATTTTGCCTGTTCTTTTTGTTTTTCTTCTTTTTCAACAGAAAAATTGGCTGACCGTAAACTGAACGTGGCAGAAGTGACGCAATCTGAAATTGGTCAGAAACAAAAGTTGCAGACAGTCCTGGAAGCTGTCCATGACTTACTCCGACCCCATGGCTGGACAATCAAGTGGAACGTTGACTGTAAGGGCTCTGTTATGCTTTCTGCCTCAGCTTCACAGGCAAGGAGGATATGATAATCAATGGGATGATCATATTCTCTGTGATGCAGTGTTTTCTTCTTTTTATTTGCATAGAGGGTTGCCATATCTGTGTATGGATTGTAACTGGTACCTTCTTCTGTGGTCTTTGTTTTAAGGACAAATGTGTGTGGCTATGGGATAATTCAAGTACTTTGTTCCTTTAAGCATATGCTTTCATTAGAATGTTTTCTGTTTGCTTCCTGAGTTTGAATCCCTACAGATATGAGAAATTTGTTAGTCGTTCAAGTACTAGAGGGAGGTCTAATCCTTCAGGCCACCACAGTGAGAGTTAAAGGATCCGTCCTACTTGAGGATGCAGCTTCTGACAGGCTAAACGGAAAGTGCCCTCTGTTCAGGCATGGCCTCTTATGATCCAAAAGTGAGAATGGAATTTGAGAAGTCCCTTTACCTAGGTAGTGGGTGATGTTCGTCTCCTACAGCTGGGAAAGCTTGTGTGAACACTTTGAAAGTCTGCTAAAAGCAGAATTGTCCTATATTCTCCAGTACAGTGGAAGGCAGGTGATTGAGTCCACCTGTTTTTCTTCATTGACTTAAGAGAAGCTGCTGAAGCATCTAGACTCCGAACTTAGGCATGTAACCTGAAGGGAGAGTTGAATATAGGCTTTGCTACCTGTTAAAGTATATTGTAGGCTGTGTTAATTTAGGAAAAAGAAGGTAGAGGGGAAAAAAGAAAGAAGACTGTGTTCACCAGAGGCATTTTTCACTGCCTTTTACCTGCCTTTTTCACAGAGCTGTTTGTTTAGAGTAAGACCTCAGTATTCTCTTATTTGCTTCCTTTTGCTTGTTCCCTGCAGCAATCCATGGCAAGAATCTGATTTCCATTCTTCACCTTCTGGTAGCTTTGGCAATGCATTTCCGGGCTCCTATTCGACTGCCTGAACATGTATCTGTACAAGTGGTAGTTGTACGGGTGAGTATGAACTCGTAAGAAAATTTGATCAGAACAATCCTTATTTTTCACTCTGATTTTGTACTACTGGGCTGCTCCTGTCCATTGCCTCCTAGTCTCTTGTCATTTAGAAAATTCTTGTCCTAGATGTTTAGTGAGTCCCAGTCCTGGGAATGCATTTTTAGTGTGCTTAAATGCGATCCCAAGAACATCATAGCTTTAATATGTTTGGAACCACCATTTGCTACTGCAGTATCAAGCTAAAAACATGTGATGGGATTTTGTAAAAGAGGGAGTTGTGTCTGTAACTTCTGGCACTTTAGTAAGTGGCTTTTCCATGGATTTTTTTGTAGAGAAGCTGTTGAAACATGAACAGCCCAGAAAGGAGTTTCAGCACACAGAATCTCCCTAATCTGGGAAGCCTGTTACTGATGTTGGTTTTCCCCAATGACCTATTATTCAGATTTAGACATGTTGTTTTCTTTGGCATGCTAGTAGACTTTCATCATTTCTTTCACAGCCTTGTGTTTTTGTTAGCTTTCCTTAGATATGGAGAAGAGGTCTGACCTGAGGAACCCTGACTTCTTCCCTCCTGCCCTAGATAATGCTATAGTTCTTCCTTTCTCTGTTTGGTGTTGACCTTTCACTCTACAAAGACTCTACTTCTGGAGCATGTGTGTTCTTGCTTTTTGTCTCGCCTTCTATCCCAACTGAAGCTCCCATTGCAGTACAGTCTGTAGCATGTGAACCCAGCTTTTCTCAACAGCTGTTGAAACATCAGGAAGAGCTGTTCCAGCTGGCCACTCTGATCATGCCAAGAGTGTTTGCTGTGGTGCTCAGTGCTGTTGTTGCAAGGCAGGCTCAGCTGCTGGCAGCAGGCTGTGGAAGTGCTTTCTGTATGTGCCATTTACTGTTAGAGCTGTCAGGCTGCAGTAGGTTTCCTTTCAAGAAGAAAGAAGATAAAGTGATCTCGGACTCTGTATGGCACATGTGAATCCCCTTACAAGATGCGATTGCGTGGTGGTTGATTAGGCGAGCCTCATTTTGCTTTACATTTACATAATGGCATTTTCCAGGCTGCCTGCCTGAATGTTCTAGAGGTATAGGGTGTGATATTGATGAATATTTATGTATTTGCCTAGCTCACAAGAAATGTATGTATTATCTTTAATAGGTGATTTTGAACTGCTCTCAGGCTTCTGTAGTTCTTTCGTTTTAAGAACGGTGAGTTAGGTATAAAGTAACATGAACATAAATAGGAGCCTAATTTATTTTTAAATTTCTTTTGAGTGTCTTGGAAAGGTAAGGAGCAAGAGGTAAACATAAGGTGGTCAACAGTCCTCTGACACCCTGATGCTAGAATTCTCCTTCTGCTCAGTGCAGTGAAGTGTCTTCTGTAACTGATAAGTCAGAAAAAAACCTCAGGTAAAGAGGTAGAGCTTCTGTTTCCTTGTCCTTAGTTCAAGCTTCAGGGCACTCCACCTTTGTAGCAGAGGGAAGGGTGTGGAGAAGGTGTTTTCACATCTCTTCCTGTTGGAGGGATATAGAGAAGACACATACTGAGAGCATCTGGTTCACCAGAGTCCCTGCATCTTGAGACTAGACAAGGCAGAGGTGAAGTCAGGATGAGATAAAGGCTGACAGAAACTAGGGGAAGGAAGGCAGGGAGGGAGGAAGGAAGGAAGGAGCGCGAGCACAACTCCTGTGTCCCCGAAGGAGTGCCTGAAGGTGTCAGAGCAATGGTACAAAGAGAGTTGATTTAAGTTCGAGAGGCTGTGAGCTCTTGCTCTTGGACCTAGAGACTGGAGTCCTGGAGATGGTTATGGCAACTGGTGGCTGTGAGCCTACCTCAGCTGGTCCCATGCTGCTAGGAAAAGCTTGCGACTCTTCAGCTTTGTTTATTTAAATGGAAGGCAAGGCACAGTATAACCTGAAGCATGTTTCTTCTGGAACAGTGACTTTTGCCTTATAGTTTGGTAAATTGGATTTTTTTAGTTCAGCATCCATAATCTAGTCTAAAAATACATGCTAATTCAGTAACACCAGATCTCTTTAAATGGATTTTATTTAGCCTTTGTGATACTAATGACAAACGGAAGAATGATAATGAAGTTAATACAGTTGCTAATCCAAGTAAGAAAACTATTATTAAGAAGATTATTATTATTATAATTGTCAATTTATTGTTAAATGATCTCTTATTAAAGATCCCAGTAATGGTTAGGGTTCTGTCAAACTAGATCACAATTAACATAAGATGTCTGCTCGGAGAGGTTTCAGTTAAAATGCCTCTTGTGTGAATATGCATTTAAGGGATTAATCAACAGTTTGTTAAGTGACTTATTGTAAGCTTTGCAGAATTGACCCTGCAGCAAGAAAACCCTGCAAGATGCTGTGGGAGTATTGTGCAAGAACACACCCACACTGAAATTTTCAAAACTAGCTGTCTCATTTCAGTGTGTGACTTTGACACTTAGGATTATTGTTATCAACTTTGTTGAGCCATCCTCATGCTGTGCAGATGTATGAGCAGCATGCTTCTTGCGCAGAAGAGCTGTGCTTACACTATGAAAATAAGAGAGTCATACTGGTTTAGCAAGTTACTGCTGAGCCAAGTTGTGTGCATTTCCATAGCCCATCACAGAACAATGCAGAGTACCTTATTAGCCTGTGTAAGTGTTGTGGGCTTTTTCTTCTCTAATTTTTAACATCCTCCATCCATAAAATGAGATAATATTAAGACAGCACTGTACTGCATGGAAAGTATTTATCGAGATCTCCACAGACTGGTGGTCCCTTTAGCATCTTGAGGTGACAGATTGAGACTTTCCTAAGGTGCTGTATTTTTTTTAAATTAAAAATAGTTAATTTAGAGTCTAAGAAAGATCTGTAGCTGCATCTGTATCTGTCAAATAACACATTATCCTTTTTTGGTCCTGCACTGTATAGTTTGCTAAGAAACCCACAAACATTTTAGAGAAGTCTTTCTGCTTTACCTTCCTTGACAGGAAGAACCTTTACCTACCTATCTGTCAGTATTACCCAGGACAATAACAACAATAATCCAGCAGAAAAACACTTTTGTTTATATTATTTATAATGGGCACTATGAGGTAGCCCCTCTCAAGAGCAGAGTTCCTGAAACCTAGTTACTTTCAAACATTTTTGAAATCAACCTCCAGAATTTATTTCCTTGGTGGTTTTTGTGTGAAAGAGGAAATTTTATAACCATGGCAATGTATGTCCAAGTTAAACATGATGTATCCTAGCAGAGCAAGGGTTTAGGTGGGTCTTCCTGTTAAGATCCTGTTGATATCTACTCCAAGTGCTGAGTTAAAAGTCTAAGATGGTACATGTTTTAATACTGGTGTCACTCAGCATTTGCTTGTTGTTCCGGCCTTCCTTAGTGAGGACGGGAAGGAGATAAACTTTATGGTTTCAGTGTATCCTTCCTGTGAGAACTAAAAATCCTGAGATTTTTCTTTCAGCTGACTCTACTGCCTGATATTTGAAACGTAAACTTGCGTGATGAAGAAATATTCTAATGTAGGAAAACAAAAATGTTCTCACAGATAAGTGTAGAAATTGTTCTTGAGGGTCACTGTGTTGGTTATTTTTACAAGGCTCAGGAATTGCTGACTTTTGCACTTAGCTTTCCTCATCCTTATTTTTAAAATCGCAGCATGTCCCACCTTGGTGCTGCTGGGAGATCTGAGGTATTTTTACAGTAATTCCCTTGTAGTCTGAGTTGCAGACTGAAAGGTCAGAGGCAAGGCAGGATGAAGAATAAATGTGTCTGGTGGCAGTGGTGCAAGGAATTAACAGTATTGTCAAAGAATGACATTTGCTTTTGGATTGCAAGGCCGAGGGACATAGGCTTGTTGTGTGAGCAGCATGCTCAGCTGCCTCGGAGGAGTCTACACAGAAACGGTGCCATTTCCACCTATTGGGGAGTCTGCGTTGGTATCCATTCCTCCTTCTTATCAGGCGTTTGGAGGTGTTATTCACTAGTCACCACTTACTGAGTTTTTGTTCACGGTTTATAGCATCTTCTCCCTGGGGTACGTGGTGCCTGGAAGATTCAGAAACCTGTGTTAATAAAGCAGAGACGTGGTGGGATGGAATAAAGACAACGTTGTTTTCTACACAGGAAAACATTGCCCTGTCAGATGCTTTCTCGTTTTTCCATCCATGCTGTCATCCTGGCTTGTTTCACCAAACCTTCTGGCGCCGTTCCCGTGGCTCCCTTGGGGGAGCAGGATGAGATGTAGGGATGATAGGGAAGCGAGGGGCTGTGAAGACACGGCCAGCTGGCAGCATCCTGCACAGGGCCCCGCTCAGGCGCGGAGCTGTAACAGCACAGCCATGGGAGGCCACGGCTCCCACCGTGCTTTTGGCCAGGCTCCCTGCGTGGTGGCTCGAGAAGGCAGTGCTGCCTCCAGTCGTTGAGTAGGGGAGTGGAAGGGTAGGAGTTCTTCTTACAGGCTTTTCGATTTCAGTTTTTATTTCTTAGATTGCTTCTGGGGAAGGATGTGTTGTTCTTCAAAGCTGCTCTCCCTAATAAGTTCTTGTTTGGGGTTCAGATGGTGTGAATGATTGAGATGGCGTATGTGTACGGAGCTTGTGCCAGGGGGGTTCTTTCCCTGCTTACCTGAGCTAGCAGCTTTATTAACCCTGCTGTCAGTCATTCTGACAGACCCATTCCTAGATGGCTGCTGAGATTTGAGCTCTTTGTGTCAGCTTTCTAAGTGCAGAGAAGGGAAGAAAGAAATTCCTCCATTCAGGCGTAAGGCCATATCCCATAGTTTTGGAAAGGACCTATAGAGATGTTAAAGTTTTTGAACTGGGTAAAAGCACTTACAGCCTCTGAGAGGTACATGCTATGTCTCTCAAACTCTGGAGAGGCTCAGAAACATTTGACCTCACCTGTGTCAGGGGGCTGTGTCTTAACAGAGCTAAGGAAGCTGTTATAAAGCTGTTTCGAAAGTTTCACTGCATGCTAACTCTGTTGGGTAGGAGAC